TCAGAAGGGGCAACATTACGGTTGAACACTGATGTTCACATGACACACCATTTGGGAATGAAGTGGAGGGGTATGCATGCATATAAACAGCTGCACTTTCTAGAAGGTTTAACACACGCTAACACAGCAATGCTTGAAGTTCTCAGGAAGCAAAAATGTTTATTTCTCTCACAGAAAAAAAGAGTCTAACGTAACAGTTTGTGTTGAAATCAAGCATCTACTGCCAGCAAGGAAAGCCTTCAGATCTTTCAATGTTTTCTATCTTAGAAGGTCAGAAATATGCCAGAAAGTAAAAAATTGTAAGGCAGCAACAAACAGAAGCACAAAACTAACAAGGAGCATCTGGGCTGAATCACTGAAGGAAGATTACAGCCATGACATTGAGCTCTCGAACCACAGGACTCTGAGGAAAACACGAACGCCCTAAATGGAGGCACGGAAAAGCAGAGGGAGAGAAGCATCCTGCCCAGGCGAGGGTGCTCAGCCTCACAGAGATAGAGGGCCATTTACCACAGCATTGGAAAGCTCTGTGAGTCCTACCTGATCTCCATACCATGCCTGCTGTCAGGGCGCCTTCTTTACCTCTCCTGTGACCCACAGTGCCAGCAGGCTGGGACCCATGGGTGGCTGAGCAACAGAACTGGCAGGCCATAGCTTTGCCCTCTCCCCCGCCAAACCTACCCAGGGACTCGGCTATGTTAACAGCCAGGCATGACAAATGGACTGAGTGCTTCCTGGGAGCCAGGTCCCATTCTTGGCCTTCCACACAGATTACCTCATTCAGCTCTCACAATAGCTATGAAATGAGTTCTGCTCTTACCCTCAGTGGAGAACACTGAGGCAGAAGGAAGTAAGCCACTTACCCAAGGCCACATAGCTGAGAAGGGCAGGGGAGGCTCCCACTCGGCACTCAGGCCACTGCCCAGAGAGCATGCAAGCCACCCTCTGAGGCTGCCCTGATTTCTCAGAACTTAAACTACCTGGATCTGTGTTGCTCACCTCACAACACAGGTGAAGAGGAAATGGAACTAGCTTTCCACCCACGCTGCTAAAAATGCTTTTATTGTAATCCTAGCACTTTGGGAGGCTGAGGTGGGTGGATCACAAGGTCAGGAGTTCAAGACCAACCTGGCCAACATCCTGAAACCCCCACCTCTACTAAAAATACAAAAATTAGCCAGGCGCAGTAGCAGGTGTTTGTAATCCCAGCTACTCAGGAGGCTGAGCCCAGAGCATTGCTTGAACCCAGGAGGTGGAGGTTTCCGTAAGACAAGATCTTGCCACTGCACTCCAGCCTGGGCAACAGAGCAAAACTCCATCTCAAAAAAAAAAAAATGCCATTTATGTATTTATTTATTTTGAGATGGAATTGCACTCTTGTTGCCCAGGCTGGAGTGCAATTGTGGGATCTCAGCTCACTGCAACCTCCGCCTGCCAGGCTCAAGCCAATCTCCTGCCTCAGTCTCCCACACAGCTGGGATTACAGGTGCACGTCACCATGCCCAGCTAATTTTTTCTGTTTTTAGTAGAGACAGGATTTCATCAGGTTGGTCTCAAACTCCTGATGTCAGGTGATCCACCCACCTTGGCCTCCCAAAGTGCTGGAATTATAGGCGTGAGCCACCGCACCCAGCCTAAAAATGTTTTTAAAGTGTTACATCAAGTAGGTCAAACTACCGCACGGCACACACACTACCCCACAGCACACACACCACCCCATGGAATATACACTACCCCACGGCACATACACTATTCCACAATACACACACCACCCCACAGCACACACACCACCCCATGGAACATACACTACCCCACTGCACATACACTATTCCACAATACACACACCACCCCATAGAATATACACTACCCCACAGCACATACACTATTCCACAACACACACACCACCCCATAGAATATACACCACCCCACGGCACACACACCACCCCATGGAAAATACACTACCCCACGGCACATACACTACTCCACAATACACACACCACCCCACGCACACACACCACTCCACGGACTATACACTACCCCACAGCACATACACTATTCCACAATACACACACCACCCCATAGCATATACACTACCCCACGGCACACACACCAACCCATGGAATATATACCACCCCATGGCACACACACCACCGCATGGAATATACACTACCCCACGACACATACACTACTCCACAATACACACACCACCCCACGGCACACACACCACCCCATAGAATATACACCACCCCACGGCACACACACCACCCCATGGAATATACACTACCCCACAGCACATACACTACTCCACAATACACACACCACCCCATGGCACACACACCACCGCATGGCACACACACCACCCCATGGAATATACACTACCCCACAGCACCTACAATACTCCACAATACACACACCACTCCACAGCACACACACTCTCTGCCGCCACACCACAGCACATACACCACTCCATGGAGCATACACTACCCCGTGGGCACATGCACTTCCTCGTGGTACACAAACACTACACCATTTACAAATACAAAGTATCTCTTTGTACAAATACAAAGTGTCTCCTTGTCCATCCAAACACCCAAACAAGCAGTGAGGCAGAGTGTGGAGCACACCTGACGTTCAACTGTTCTCTCGCTCATTTGCCTCTTCTATCTCTCTGGACCTAACCCACGATAAAATGCCTACAGCAATGTTTTCCAAGGACTTCCTTATCTTTAGTGCCCCTCACACACCAGAAGGAGCTGCAAAGCTTTCTTTGTCCCAGGAATTCTGACTATGTGAACACTGGGAGGGAACAGGGCCTATTTCTCCTTTTTTATCAAATAAGTCGCATACGGAGCGCCTAAGCAAATGTGAGTATTCAATCCCAGACTCTTTTTTTTCTGTTAAAAAAAAGGAGATATAATTTAGTCCTACACAGTGGAAGATAATGAAATTATAAGAAAACAGATCATGGCTGTTTCTGGAAAAAGTCAAATTAGTTTCATACCATAGACATGAATTTAAAATTATAGAAATAAATGGTTTTCTGTGTAAATACGGGTGAGGCAGCCAGATGAATACACTGAAAAAAACAAACAAACATGTGGAATGAGAAAAACAGAAATAACCCTATCCCCTAACTTGTATTCCCAAGACGTTATCAAATAATGTATACGATGGAAAAGTTCTCTCAAGAATATTTACCCCTTAGATTACGAGAACATGTGATGTCACAAGCGTAATAATACAGCAAGGCGGAATTACAATTGTAAGCTACACGAACACAGACAGATCTATGTAACAGAAAACAGCTGAAGGTCTGGGCAAGGGAAGCCAGTAGGAGCATCAACACTGATGTCTGTCTCCGCCCGCCCCCAGGATGAAAGGGTCAGGAACTCGCCAGGAAGGCAAGATTCTCCACAGGGTGAGCCGAGCCGGCCCACGCAGCATTAATTCCACGGGGAGAGGCTGCACAGGAGCCCTGCAACGTGACCCTCCCTTTTCACACCCAGTGTCAGGAGGGAACTGAGTGAACTGGGAACCCCGTGGGCGCAGGTCAAGTGAACGTCAGCCCCTTCCCTCTTCCATGTCCCTCGGAGGAAACACGGCAGGAAAATGAGTTGTCTAGGAACCCACACTTCCGAGTGACACAACTGGGAACAGAAGGTTCCTGCCCGATAAAGCATTTTTTTTACACGCCAGGTCACCTACAGTCACTGATACCAGGTCTTCTGTAAGATTATCATAGAGAAACGCAGGTACTGCAAGATGCTTACCGCTCACATTAACATTAGGATAGGAACCGGGGGCTGGAGCGTCAGTGGGGCAATAACGGGAGGCTGCTGCGGCTAAGCCTTTCGGGATCTAGCATCCAGAGTCATCAGAGTCACCAGAGGCTAGTTCTTCCCCCTTAGGTAAAGCAGGCTGAGCTTCCTACGGCTTCCCCGACACCAGGAAACAGGCTCGCTTGACTCTCCGAGGTTTTCGGTTAGTAAATAAATCCGGGGGAAAGCATTGATTGATCTGGCATCCCCAAGTGAAAAGAAACCTATCTTTGGCCAAGGTCTCCTATTTAAAGAAAGCTCATAAATATGAAAGACTGCCTGAGGTCATTCCTATGCCAGGAAAGAACAAAGTTCCCATAATCCTGCCCTCTCTGGTACCAAACCCGGTGCCTGCAACTTCTCGAACCTGTGACTGACAGCTGACCGCCACCGCTGTAGAACAATGAACCCTCTTGTGCCAGGCGGGGGCAGGAAACGCCGTGCTTGGGACAGTTTTCTTCCTCTCCTACACACACCCCCTTTCACACCTAACGCCAGCGACGCCGGTTTCCCCTCCTCCGGGGTAAAACAAAACCAACTTTTCCCCTTCGGAGCCTTCCCTCCTGAGCTCTCCACCGGCTGGTCACTGAAGGGGCAGGTTGCAGAGGAACCAACAAGACCCCGGGCTTCGGATCTAATCAGTCACTTTAAGGTAAAAAAATAACACGACTGCACACTCCGCTCCGAATCCCCCGGGGCGCTGAGGAACAAACACACCCGCTAGCTGCTTCTGCACAAGTGTGACACTTCCTCCCAGTCCCTTAATCTCCTCGCAGACACGGCTGCGCGGAAGCCGCATCTAAGGTTCCTTCCCGGACCCGGGCTCCGGCGGGTCCAAGTCGGCTCTCTCAGGGCGCCCGGTCCGCTGAGACGGCTCGAACCCCAGCCAGGCTCCCCAACGACCACCGGGGCGCGGCGGGCTGGAAGAGGGCGCGAGGCGGCTGCGGCCCGGGAGCAGGTGGCGGCCCGGGACGGGGGCCGCGCGGTGCCACTTGGACCCCGTCGGAAGCCCCAGGGTGTCAACCCCGGGCCGCTCCCCAGCATCCTGGTCGTCCCCGGGGCGGCCGGCGTCCCCGATCTCGGAGCTCTCCCGGGACCCCGGGGCTGCGCGGCCGGCCAGCGTCTGGTCCCCGGGTCCCCGGACCTGCCCACCGGGTCCCCGGCCACTCTGGGAGCACTCACGTATCTGTGCACGAGCGTCCGCACGAGGCTGCAGTCCATGGCTCCTCCGGCCGCGCCCGCTCCGCCGCTCAGCGCCCCCGCGCCCGGCTCGGCGCGCCCATGGGCTCCGGGGTCCGAGTGCGGCCGCGCCCCCCGCTCCGGTCACGGCCAGAGCGCGCCGGGCGGTGCAGGGGGCGGCCGCGGCCCCTCCGCGCTCATGCCCGGCCAGGCGGCGAAGGCTGGGTCCGCGGCCCCGCGCGTCGGCGGCTGCTCCGCGGGCGGCCGGGAGGCTGCTGGGGTCCGCACGCGCGCCGGCGCCTCCTCCCCGTCGGTCCGCCCGCTGGGCTGGCTCGGCTGGAGCGCCCGGGCCGCGGCGGAGGCTGCGCTCTGCTCCTCGTGCGTCTCCTCCTCCCCGGCCTGCCGCCCTCTGGAGCCTCCGGGCCCCGCGGGCTCCTGCCCCTGCTCCGGGCGCGCACGTCACCGGCGCGAGTGAGCATGCGCCCCGCGGCCCGTCCCCGCCCGCCCCGCGCCCACACCGCGTCGCACCCGCGCCCGCCCTGCCCCCTCGCGGCTGGCCCGGGCCGGGACCTGGGGGCGGAGGGCAGAGGCTGCGGGAGGGACTCCCTGTTGCTTCCGCCTACCGGGGCGCAGGCGCAGGCGCGGGCGGGCGGGGACGCGGGGCGGCACCGGGGGACCCGGAGGCTCGGCCAGGGTCCCGGGGCTTCCTTCCCGGGCTCCTGCAGGGAAACTTTTATCCTCAGCCCGGAAGGCTCGAGGTGGCGGTGAGATCGCGGGGCGAAAGCCGCGGGGCGAGCGCGGGAGTCAGGCGAGGTGGGAGGTCCCCTGAGCCGAGGCTGGGTCTCGCCCCTGAACGCCGCGCCGCCAGCCCGCAGACGTCTCCTGCTCTGCAGGTGGAGACCCGGGGGCGCTCCTCAGGTGGCTGCCCCCGGCCGGCCTCGGGGTGAGGCGAGATGCGACAGGAAGCCCCTGGCTCCGAACCCGGGTGGTTCCCGGGCCTGGTCTCTGGCCCTCAGTCCACAGAGCTGGGACAGCAGAAGACACTCTGGTGGCCTGAGGGGTGGGTGAACCACGAAGAGGAGCGCGGCTTCGCTGGTCTGCCGTTCCTTGTGGCATGTCCCAGCGCTGCTGGCTGTGAACTGGGCTGAGCACTCGGTGCCACACAGCGCCGTTCAGTCCCAGAGGTGCCCCTGTTCCCCCAGCGACACTTCGCGCAGCCCGGGATGAGCCCTTCGTTCTCAAGCCCGTCGTCGGCCTCGACTGAACTGAGACACTTGGTTTCCAGCCTCCCTTTTGCTGCCACAGATGTCACTGATGACAACAGAGAGCCAACACCTCTTGGTGGCCCTTGGAGACAGCTGCCACACCTGGGTCTCAGGAATGCAATTGAACGTGAATGTTCTCTCGAGTGCTTGTGAAAAAGAAAGGGTATAGGCCACCTTTTAGAAATAGAAATGAGTACTAGACAACAGTAGTAACAGTGACTAAACGCGGCTCCCATTTCTGGTCGGATAAAGCACCTACTGACTCTCCATTTTCCATTCCAGCCTGCTCCGTGGCCTGCTCCACCTGCCCTGTCTCAGGAAGCTCATGGCGCTTTGGTGGACCTCACCCACAGAGGTACCCACTGCAGACCGGGTGGGAGAGAGGCAGGGACTGTCCTCCCCTCCTTCCCGGCCTGTCCCCACACAGGCCAGTGCTGGTGTCCCTCTGTGGCTACCATTCTTCCTGGGTGCTCTTTCCATTGCATAACTCATCCAGGCTCTACGAACAGAATTTCTCCCCACCCCCATGCCTTTTAAGGCGAGACAGTCCTGCCACTGTTGCTGGTCCCTGAATAACGGCCCCCTTGGAAGGGTCCTGGAACCATGACTGCACCGCAGCAAACCGTCCGGTCATCAAACTGGCTTCCGCATCCCCTCCCAAGAACACCTCCTGTTTCCTGCAGGACCCCTGACTGCTGGAGCCAGATTTTGACTAAGCTTCCACCTTGTAAACTGTGACTGTGGGATTGGGGTCGAGGCGCAGCTGGAGGAGGTATGAGGCACTAGATGAAGGCCTGTCAGGAGTGTCTGCTTTGTTCAGTGGTAAATGGTGAATTGTTTTTTGTCCTGTAGTGAATACTCTTGGTTGCCAGTGTGGCAGCCATGCCATCTCTATCCTTGCTGGTTCAGGTATCCACCCTCTCTGTGGCTAAGGGTAAACTCTATCTCTTTTGAGAAAATGTTGGTAACTCGATTTCTCTTTCCAATGATTGGCTTCAAACAAGCTCAAGACGATGAGTCCCGACAGGAAGCCTGCTGGGGGATGTCTGGCAAAGGTTTTCTCACTCTTACAAGAACACAAAGAGGAAATGCTCCTTTTTCCCTGGCAGACGTTGCGTTCCTTGTCTGGATGCAGTGCCTGGTACTCCGCATCCCTTTGCACCCTCAAGAGAAGGTGGCCAGAAGAGCATATCCACCCTGGGGATAGCCGCCTGGGAAGATGAGAAGAGCAGGAGTCCTCAGTGACACAATCAGGCAATTCCCCAAAATCCTGCTGCCCTCACCTGGAATTTTCTGCTGTGGGAGACAACATCATTGAAACCACATGAGTCGGATTTTCTGTTTCTAACATAGCATCTGCACTGTGAATCTGTGAAAAAACATCAGGTCCATTAAAAAATGGAAAGTCCAATTCACCCCATGCTATGGTCTGAAAGTGACCCCCCAAATTCACATGTGGAAACCTAATCCCAAAGACCTAATCCCTAATCCTAAATATTAAGAGGAGAAAGCCTTGGGAGGTGATTAGGAATGGGATTAGCATCCTTTAAAACGGAGGTTTTCGGGAGCCTGCTTGCCCTCTCTGCCATGTGAAGACCCTTAGAGGAGGCCATCTGTGAGCAAAGGGCTTTTCGCAGATATTGGATCCGCTGGCACCTTGATTTTGGATTTCTCAGCCTTCAGAACTGTGGGAAGCAAACTTCCTGTGTCTGCCTTGCCATCGAAGGGATTTTGTTACAGCAGCCTGAGCAGACTGAGACGTCCTGTGAGTCAGTTATTTTTGGCTGTGTGATGAATGACCGTGAGTGCAGAAGCTGAAACAACAGTGAGTTTCCATTTCTTGGGACCCCGTGGGATCGGCGAGATGGTGCTTCTGCTCCACCTGGTGTTGGCTGGGATTGGCCTGCAGCTGCATTCTTGTGGGGGCTCTGCTGGGGCTGGAAGGTTTCCTGTAGCTCTAGTCACATAGCTGATATCTCAGCTGGGATGACAAAAGCCTGGGGACAGGCTGGCCTTGCTGTCTCTCTCTGTGGCTTCTCATCAATCAGTGCTCTAGCCCGAGCTTTTTCACGTGGCAGCTCAGGAGGGTCCATGCGGACGCTATATGGCCTATAAGGCCTGGGTTTGGAAGTCTTAGAACACGACTTCCACCATGTTCTTTTGGGGAAAATACATTCCAAGGCCAGCCTAGGTTCAAGGGATAAGGACATAGATTTCACTTCATGGTGGGAGGATCCCATGTACAGACAGGGATCCTCATGAGGGATTATCATGCAGAGAATTTATAGGGGATTATCTTTGAAATCATCGACCATAGACTGATTAAACGATCATGAAATGTGTTGGCGCCCATCCCAGTGAGTGCAAAAGTGAAATAAGTGCTGGAAACTCCAGGGCCTACAAATTTGGTCCTTCACATCCAAGCAGAAGGAGATACTTCATGGTGATGGACCAGCTAAGTCACGCATCCACTCCTGGCCTGTATGCTGGTGGCGGAGCCCATGAGATGAGCGCCTTAAGCCTGAGGTCAGTGCATATCACCAACCTAGTAAGTGTCCAAGGGGAATGAAATTGTTGGGGATTAGCCTCGGGTAACCAGGATCTACCCCTGACCCTCACAGCTCCACAGTGCTGGTGGGAGGGGAGTGGGAGGGGATGGATGAGGAGGAGGCAGCAGGTAGGATGCCAACCCCAAGACTTGAAATTGTGGGTTTGCAAATGGATGCTTCAGACCGCACCCTGGCCACACCCTCACCTACACACAGACTTGTAAACACCCATCCTCCATTCCTCTCTCCACCGTTTTTTCCAAAGAAATCTTGGAATCATTGGCCTCTATGTGAAAAAGAACTGGGGGGAAATAAGGGAGTGGGGGGCAAAAAATGAGATCTTCCTATAAAAGAATGACTGCACTGAGAGCTGAAACAGCAAACCTGAAGCCAGAACTGACGGCTGTAAGTAGACAGAGCCCCGGGAAGCCTGAATTATGAACACGTGCCATTTTGGTGCTGGAAAGAGCCATTACCTGAGCGCAGTCAAGCTGGGCCTCCAAGTTACTGGCCCATGCTGTTCACACATCTCGAGTCACTATCCCCACAGGTACAGAATAAGTTAGGTGACCGTATCCCCAGGGATTGGTCCTAGAGATTTTTTTTTTTTTTTTTTTCCGAGACAGAGTCTCACTCTGTCTCCCAAGATGGAGTGCAACGATGCAATCTCGGCTCATTGCAACCTCCGCCCCCAAGGGTTCAAGCGATTCTCCTGCCTCACCCTCTCAAGTAGCTGGGATTATAGGCACCCACCACCATACCTGGCTAATTTGTTTTTAGTAGAGATGGGGTTTCGCCATGTTGCCCAGGCTGGTCTCAAACTCCTGACCTCAGGTGATTCACCTGCCTCGGCCTCCCGGAGTGCTGGGATTACAGGCGTGAGCCACAGCTCCTGGCCCCCAGAGCTCTTGAATGGCAGAAGCGTCACTTTCTGCCTTTCCACAGCCATTCTGTGACCTCCCTGGTCCCTTGGTCTAGAATCTTCTGCCCTGCCCAGTGTTTGGCCCCTCTTACTCACTCTCAGATGCCGTCTCTCCCTGCACCTGCCTGGGTTCCGGCTCAGTTATTAATCACTCCCCCTTAGCATTCCTAAAAGCGCCACTTAGTGAAGCTTCGTTATTTCTCCACAGCAGTATTTCTAAACCCTGGTTATAGATTAAACTCACTTTGGGAATTACTTTTAACCAATAGCACTTCCCCAGGCTGGGCATGGTGGCTCACACCTGTACTTCCAGCACTTTGAGAGGCCAAGGTGGGACAATTAGGCAACATAGCAAGATCCCATCTCTACAAAAAAAACACACAAAAATAAAATGAGCTGGG